CCCCAAAACCCCAAAACCCCAAAACCCCAAAACCCCAAATTCATCAATAAAATTGAACAATAAGCCATAAAAATATGAAGTAAGGACTATTTTAATACTATTCTTTTTAAGAAATAAGGATGGTCAATATCGTATAATAAGCTAACCGAATCCACTTCGATTAAGGCTCACTCTTAGTAATAAATGCGTCATTTGAGACAAGATCCTCTAAAGATGGCCTATTCTCTGGATCTTTTGCTAACAATTTTTGAATTAGATTTTTTAACTCCAAACTGACCTCCCTGTCTTGGTTGAAATCAATATCTTCCTTCATGATTACATTGGCTAATTCAAGCTCGCTATCAGCCCAGAAGGGCATTTTATTATATGTCATAGCGAAAAGAGTCACGCCAAGAGCCCATATATCAGCTTTTACACCAGAAAATTCTTTGATATCATAGTTCCAGCATTCGGGAGGCATAAAGTGGTATGTACCTTCAGTATTTGTCAAAGTGTCATCTTCTCTATTATCGAGTTTATGAGCAACTCCAAAATCACAAATTTTAATTTTGTCGTTCTTGGTCATCAACAAATTATGTGGTTTAATGTCCCTATGAATAACTCCAATGTCGTGAAGATACTTTAATCCTTCAATTGTATCAACTAAAATAGCTCTGATTTCTTTCTCACTAAAGTACTCTTCTCCATTGCAAGGGGTATAAAGTCTAGTATCTGCGTCCCACTTCATAATTTCACCCTTTTCACAATTGTCCAAAATTAAGTAGAGCTTTTCTTCATCTTCTCCAATCAGAATCTCGTGTAGCTTGACAATGTTAGGGTGGTCAAGGATTTTAATGATCTCTATCTCCTTCTCTACAGCATCGAAGGCTGTTTTGATGCCCATCTTGCCCTTGCCTTTTCTTACGTACTCCTTCCTCATCTTTAGCAGCAGTTTGTTGACCACCTTCATGGCATAATGCTCAGATGTCTTGGTATTGACGATCTCTTTTACCTTCCCGACTGAGCCTTCTCCGTACTTCCTAATAGCTTTATAGTCGTTGTAGTGTCTGTAGCCATCATCATCCTTAAACTTGGTAAGTGTTTTCCCTTCTTCGCTGGTATCCATACCTATTTAAATTTTATAAATTACCAATTCCTTTATCATGAGCTGGGGTTTTGGGGTTTTGGGGTTTTGGGGTTTTGGGGTTTTGGGG